CCATCATAGTTGAAGTGGGTAAGCCAGCACGCTGGCTGCCATTGTCCAGATGGCAAAGCCAGCACGCTGGCTGCCATCATAGTTGAAGTGGGTAAGCCAGCACGCTGGCTGCCATTGTCCCCTTACCAGCAGCCCAAATGCTCACGACGATGAGCTGGGCTGTCACCGCTTGGCCGCCGGTGGGGGGTTTGGGAGGCCGCATAGCGCACAAACACCCACACACTCCCTCAACTTCCACGAACACACACATACGCAGACTCGTTTCCACACGGACATAGACACACGCACAGAAACCCACACACTACCTCAACTCACTCGACTTAACACTTCTCACTACACACTTACCGGATAACTCGCACTCTGATTTCCTACGTGATGAAAAATGCTTTCGGGCCACTCGTCGTCTAGTTTCAACGCAGTTCTTGAGAGGGCATCTTCTGAAGCTTGGCCTTGGTCGGGCTGGTGGTATAGTTCTAGCTGAAGGCAATAAGGGATCTCCGGCTGTTCTCAAGTCGGGTTGAGTTGCGGTGTCAGGGCAGCGCGGTAAATGCTGTTGCAGCGGTGTCGCTCAAAGGTATTGCTCCTCACTTACGTGCGCGTCATGTTGATAACCGAACCATGCCTTACAAATAGGACTGTGCGAAACCATTGCTTGCTTGAAGCGGCTGATGGTGAACCGGGCGACGCAAGCGCTGCCTGCTGTAGAGCAATTTGGCATTCTCTACATGGGCGTGTGCATGAGGGATCCCTGGCCCCTTTGCCTGCGATGTCTCTAAAAAAGTAAAGCTGTAGATTATAGCGACCGTAACCGTGTCACCTTTTGGACGTTAGCCTGAGCCATGCAGTCCAGGCGGTGCGAGTTTGCGAAGATGGATGGCCGTCGCTTTGGCCTTCTGGCGGTCGTGCGCCAAGAGGCGTGGCGAAAGGGCCTATATTTGCCAACCCGCTTCGTCTGATGTCGCGACTAAGTTCGGCAAGGCGGTGGCCCGTTTGAGGCTTATGCGCAGAAACATGGACCTCCAATCAGTGACATTGGCGAAAGTCCTGGCCGAGTGCGCGCAGTTCTTGGGCGGGAGTTTGGAAGATGTGCTGGTTGAAGGCGGCTCATGGAAGGTCAGTCTCGAAGAGCTGCCGCGAGTTCATTCTTCTGCACCTGACTGCCGATCCGATTGGCAGTGCTGTGTACAATGGCGCGAACGCCGAATGCTCTGCAGTTCGGGCGGTGGTGTGGGTTCTTCTCATTAGGGCGGTGGTGTGGGTTCTTCTCATTAAATTTTGTAAGTTTTGTCATTTCCCGAGAAGTGCTGTCGCTCTGTGACAATATAACAGACAAACCGTGCGCAAACCTTCCGTGGAGTCGAAGGATCATCATCAAGGTTGACCTGCGCGTTTGCACACATTGTCCCACTGTCACGATCGAGTCATTTGCGTGTTGCCCGTTGCTATTAAGGACAGAGCTTGCCAGCGGTGCAGAAGCGGGCTGCAGAGCTGGTTGGCGATCTGACCTTGTCTGCCCTGCAGAAGAGAGTGAGGGAGTGGATCATGGGCCAAAGCTGCCCCGGAAATGTTTGCGAAGTGTGGCAGCGCTTGGCAAACTTTTTCCGGGTTTCAATCCAATTGGATTGGAGCCCATGATGTGGAGGTCAGTGCCCAGATGCACCAGGCGTTCTCGGCGATCTCCCGCCGCGCTCGCTAGCTCGCTCTCATAGGGTCGAGCAGTTCACTGTGCTCTGAAGGCTGCAACGCCAGGCAGGTACGCTGTGAAGAGAAATGGGGTGTATGAGGGCGGTTGCTTTTTTTGCAGAAATTGGGATGAAGTTTATCCTTGCAGATCCGGGCCCCAATACACCAGACAACACCTTAGGTCTTGGCTCCTTTGAGTAGCTGTTGTGATTCTCGGTTTCGATAGGTGTTGGAGATCGAGAGCAACACGTGTATCTTTCAGATGTCTATGTGAAGTGAAAGAAAGCCTTTGCTCACGTCCGAAACAAAATCTTGCCAGGTGTCTGTTGTGGAGGTTACACTTATTCTCAGGTGTCGCTAGCCAAAAAAACTGGCTAGCAACCCCCAACTACCCAAACACTGCAAAGCAGAATCGCGGATGTCTTGATTGCTGCTGGGTTGCTCGAAGTCTTATTTGGTAGCAAGTGCGGGGGGCCATCCGGTGGTCCAGCAGACCGGTGCAAGGCCACTAGAGCCAGGGAATCCCCATCAAACCAGAGCAAGGAGTCAAAAGCTCATGGTCAGACTCGACCCTGCCACCATCTCAAACCCTGACGTGTGAGATTGCGTTTTTGATTGGCCCGATTTTGAGAGAATGCGCCGTCCGACTACAATCATTTTCTTTTCTTTGAGAACCAAGCTTCGGCCCTGCGCCACTCTAAGAGTCATTTTCATTGCGCGGGCGGGGATCAACTCATGAGGGTATATGAACACCTCTTCCAGTCTTCTCCCAGAGTCCAGAGACCTTCAAAAACTGAATGCTGGAATGTAAGCGGCGACAGGTGGATTGGTCGGAAATTGTTCAAGCCGCTACTGGGTTTTTTGGCCCTATAGATATATGGGCAGAAGGTGCTGTTGGACCGACTTTTGGGTGGCCAATCCGCTCAGCCGCTGCCAGGTGAGTGGCCGGTGCGGATGACAGATCGCGTCCAATGAAAGAGTTGCTTCATCCAGCCAGTTAGGTGGTACAAATACTTTTCAGCCCACGTAAAGCACAAAAAAGTGTTGGCTTTTTCCCACGCAGGGTCTGTCCTAGGCATGCTTTTAAAAAAGTGTCTTACTTTAACCGCCGCTGGCGTGTTCCGCCGGCTTTCCAGGTGGCAAGGCCATAAGGTAAACAAAAGCAGACACGCAGATGAAAGACACATGTTTGTAGCAATTTGAGCACGGGTTTGGAAAGAAGGGGTAGAAAATGCCTGCAGTGGAACACAGGGTAGTTGTTTATCTATAGAAGAGTTTGGCATCTTAGCGGACAGGTTGGAGGCATGGCAGGAGGAGGGTGCTCTGTGCTGCAGCCTTGATCTATCTTTGGGGCGTACGCTTCGAGGATGCAGGGTGAATGCGGGAGTGCCGTAGAGGATGATGTGTGTGCTGTCTTGGCATAGTAGAGAGGAGAAAGGGGGGGGAGGGGGGGGGGGGGGGGGGGGGTAGCAAAAATCCGCGCGTAGGGAAAAGATTTACAACGCAACAGCAACAGCAACAGGAACATCCACAGAACATGCCGGCTAAAGCCGGCGGATTTTGTAACTATGAACAAAGTCGGTTGATTGCTCTTCAGCACTCATATATAGGATTCTGTTGCGCGTCTAGTTTCTGTCGAATTCTTTTGGCATTGGTCATGACCTGGTCGAAGATGGGCAGACATGACTGACTGACTGACTGACTGACTGGCTGGCTGGCTGACTGGCTGACTGGCTGACTGGCTGACTGGTTGACTGACTGACAGACTCTGACTGACTGACTGACTGACTGACTGGCTAGCTGTCTGACTGACTGACTCTGACTGACTGACTGAGTGACTGACTGACTGACTGGGTGGCTGACTGACTGACTGAGTGACTGACTGACTGGCTGCTGACTGACTACTGACTGGCTGACTGACTGACTGACTGACTGATGCTTAGTAGCTAGTAGAGAGTAAAGGAATGACCCGGTTCTGCAGATTCCTTCGGATCCACCACCCTTATTTTTTACTAAGCAGGTTGTTTTGCTTGATAAGAAACATCAGAAACACATCCTAAAGCGAGAACATCACTGGCAGCGTGACCACTGGAGGGTGCAGCCAGGGAAAAACAATTCTTCGATCGTCCCATTCTCTCTTAACTTCACGGTGCCTCTCTTGGTGCCTTTCCGCGTGGTCTCAAAACTCGTGCTCCCAGGCAATACGTTTGCTTCACTGCCGAGCGCTTCTATGCCGTCGCAAAAGTCTTGGCCAAGATGGTGGAGGCGAGTCCCCCCGGGACCGGATCACGACAACTGGTTCGGTCGGGACAAAAAACACACAGCACACACACCTCTTTGGTGTCCGGTGGTTTTTTGTTGTGTTCTCTAAGAAGCGGGAAACGGGTTGGGTTTGGTATTTAGATATTGTAAAGCGATAGGTCCCCAAATCCCGAAAAAAAAAGAAAAAACTGTCACCCATGACTTCATATTCAGTGAAGTTCAATGTCAAACATTGATCAAAGATGTGGAGAAACACAGACCCTGGTTCAACATCTCCTTTCAAAGCAAGAAGGGTCTACTTCTGAGAGAGGCTTGCTTACGTCTGAATTCGCTCCCTCCGGTTCGTGGGAAGTCGGTGGAGGTCGTGAGAGGTGCCGCGAGCGACGCAAGCGTCGGCAGGTCCTTGTGCAGCTGCCATCGATCCGGCTGCTGAAGCATGTGGTGCGCTGCTACCTGAGGCTTTGTGACTCTGCCATTGCCAAGGAGGTGCTGAAGAGCCAAAGCTGAAAAGGTCTTGGGGGTGTGCGGGGCACCCTCTTCTTGAGGCCATACCCTGCATATCTCGGAATGTCTCAATAAATTTTGACCAAGGGAACAAGGGTCCTTTCCCATATGAATCATATCAATCCATTATCATCGTCCAGTACCGTTGACTTGAGGGACCAATTCGCTGGTTCTTCAAAATGACTCTTTGAGATCCCAGATTGAGGCCACTTATATAAGTGACTTAAGCATCTAAAGGGTCAGTTATAGAGACCCTCCAAAGGCTATACTTCCCCATTCCCCATATCCTTCCCTCCTGGTTGCGTGAGGACAAGGCTCGCAAGACCCCTCCCTGAGTCCTCAAGCAATCAAACAGATATGAATATATAAGTAGTAAGTAGGGCCTTCCCATGTACAAAGACACCTTCCACGGATATATATATAATTATATATATATATTATATATGTATATAATTTCCCTTGTTCCAACAAAATCCTGCTGGTGTTACGGAGTTTCTTTCTTTTCCCAAAGCTACCACTCATTGAACTCATCCACCATCAGCGCATCAGACTTCCGTCCTTCTCTCAGGACCTGTTTGCCCGATGGCCTGCAATCGGATCCAAGTTTGCAGCGCTTGCCGGAGTCGATCCTATCAAGCTTAGCTTCTTGGTGCTCGAACCATATGTTTGACATGTTTCGAGCAACCAGAGATGGCGTTTTCGCCGGGTGCTGTGAGTGGATGTTGTTTGAAATATGTTTGTTGGTTGTGGTGAGGAGTTCAGGTGGACCGGGGCAATTTGGACCTGCCTGTCAGCCGCAGCCCCACTCCCGATTCCGACTGTGGATGGTCCCTGGGTTTTCGACTGAAAGCTTCAAGACCTTGTAACTCAACGTAACTCTTAAGCAACGTGACAAGATCTTGCACAGAAGACTTGGGTGTGTATTTTAATAGGGAGACCCGGGCCCAATTGGTTTTGTTCTATTTCCCTTCTGGCAAGGAGTCTGTGGGAGGTCTCCCTATTTCAAGACACACCCACTTGAACAGCCTTGAACACATGGGTCTTGGTGGTGTGTCAAGAAAAATTTGCCAGAAGGGCTGTTGTTGATGCAACAAGAGTCGGGGCGCCTCTGCAGCTGCACACCAGAAGGCTGTCCCACTCACAAGTTCGTGCCGGGGTCCGGAGATGTTTGCTTTGAGGGACTAGGGGCCGGTTGAAGTAAGATGTGCAGATAGACCATGTTTGGCTGGTTTTTGCAGCTGTCAGGTCAGTGACTAAGTGGAACCATGTGGAAGCTCTTCGCACTTTGGCCTTGAGCTGGTTGTCTCCCTGAGCAAACATAAGAGCAGACCCTGGAAGGTCTACAGGGAATTGTCTTAGGTTTGTTGAAGAATCACTGTACGATATTGCCCCTACACAGCAAAACCATACACTCTAAGAGTGGACAGTTTCTGTTTAAATCATTGAACCCTTCTATATAGTCCCTTCATGTCCCTTCATGTCCACAGACAGTCTGTCTTTTGTACGTGGAATCAAGATCGACCAGTCTTGACATCCCGTCCAGGAGGAGGACCCGGCGACCAAGCGTTGGCTGGTGACCTTGTGCCCTGGCGAGGTTGGGATTGATCAACGCAACCTGCACCTGGATGACCAATAGGGAGACACCCCATAGACACCGCACACCCGATCCGCGGGGTAGACGAGTTGACGGCGTTCCGAACCCATGGGGTCGGAACGCCTGGGAGGTCTTTCTTTCTCTTTCTCTCTCTCTCTCTGTTTTAATACACACCCATACGGGTAGGCTTGGGTATGGTATGGGGTGTGGAAGAATCCATTGGACCCTGGGAGGTTTTTGCGTCATGTCATTCCACGACAATCATTATACTATTTGTTTTTCCAGGTGGCCCCTATTTCTACAGTGGTTTCAGAGTAGATGGCACAAACCCCTAGATGTCCTTTGGATGGGGGTCCACATAAACCACCGACATTGGGGATTGTGCCATCTGCTCTGAAACCATTGTAAGCCATACCCAGACGCTCCATGTATGCCATATATGCCGATCAGTTGGGGTGGCTTGTGGGGTCAATTGATCGGCATATATGGCAGTCCCGTGTGTCGTGTATGGGATAGGAGACATCCTACAAGCACTTGGGTACAAGCACTTGGCCCTTCGACAGGAACAACGTTCGACTCGTCGGAAAATCCGTAGAACCACGGGATGGCCTTCGTCTTTCTCTGTGTCTTCGGCGTACGGGCGATGGGCCCTGACGGCGGACGGGCGATGGCTTGGTCCCGTCCGATTGGATGGTTTTTCACTCTCCTCGTCGCTTTGACTCCATGGTAAGATTACAATTTCACTCTCTTCGATTTGATCGTATACCGCGGGCTCATGAACGATTACAATTTGACTCCGAATCCATGCCTCCAACCTTAGACACAAGCTGAGGTTGACGACGCTCCAGTACCGATGAGTGTGACGATCACTGCGCGTTTCTGCCCAGCTGCATAGATTGCTTCAGTCTCCAAACAGGGCCCAGTATTTATCCACTTGTGCATCCTTGCAGCATTTGGTCAATATGACTGGGTCAGGGTCATGATAAGGCTAGGCTTTCTGTTAGCAACCAGTCAGAACTGGTGTTCTCCCCAAGAACACCACACACGACTTCTGGTCAGATTCGTTTCTGAATGGGAGATGGAGCTGATCTGTGGCGCAGAAGACTGAGCATATATATTGAATAATGCACTGCCGGAGTCACAGCCCAAAACAGCTTTGCGGCTGTTGGATGCTGCGGCTTCGTCCGGGGCCCCTCCACGCCGGTGGTGGTCGACCGATTAACGAAGCGGACCGGCTTGGTCGATGCGCTGGTCGACGCAGCAGCCTGTTCATGCGAAAAGCCGAAAAGGAGTTTGCTGTGATGGTAGTCACATGCAGTCACCAAATAGAAACACTGTATGAACATGTATAAGATTTTCAGGATTTTCCAAGGGAGGCTCCCAGGAGTGCACGTGCCCTTCTTGTTGTCCCTGGCATGTTTGTTCGAAACAAGATCCCTATTTGCCCGAACGCCCAGGGTTTTGCTCCCTGATCGCAAATGCATTAAAACCCAATAAAACACATGTGCCCTTCCTCTCAAGAGTCGCCCAATTTGGGGAACTCACTTTCCATTGCAGATGTGGCACTTTCTTTCTTTGGAAGCTTGAACATTTTTCAAGCCAGGAGTGATCTACATCCAATCTTCCGGTTCACGAGCTCACGGGTTCACCATGCTATAACAAGCATCGCCAAGCACAAACTCTTCCTGTCACGTCCAACACACCTCCAAACGGCCATGTCCTCCCGAATCGACAGACGCTGCGCAGATCAGCTAGACAGATCGACCGGGACCAGGACGAGACGCCGCCGCCGCGCCGAGTGCTTCGGGCGGCGGGCGTCGAAAAAGAGCGGGTCCCAGACGCGCCCGGCCGCTGCCAGGAGCCGCCGAAAAAGACAGCCGCGGAGCGGAGCGCGCGCGTCTCGTCGACGGGGGGGTGCGTGGGGCGTGCCGGCAGCGGATGAAGCGGATTTGGAGCCGGTGTAGGACTGTTCCTGGCGGTGAGACACCCGCAGGAAAGGAAGAAAAACGCCCAACACCGGGACTGTAAGCAAAATCAGCTCACTTTAACAAGACTACAGTATAGAACAGCTCCTTGCCACAGACCCCGATCCCGCCGTTGCTTTCGAGTTTGTATATGTACGTGGAGCAACCCTGCGGATTCTGGGAATGGTGGCATCACACACACAAACACAGAGAGAGAGAGAGAAAGCACATGCATTTCGCACATATTCTCCCACGCAAGAAAGAAAGTGCTGTGTGGTCTTCGTCCACCCTGCCGTACATAATTCCTGCCTTGCTCATGACTCACCACATCGTGTCCCAGGTTGGCCTACGAATTCCTGTCGCCGGACTTGAAGCAGGATCGTGAGGCAGCCAGAGAAGCTGCGATAGGGATGGGTGCCTACACTGATGGATGAACATGGTGGGATGTTCTATGGACTTTCTGTCGATTCCGTATCCAGGATTGCAAAGAACGGACATCTGAGAACATACATAAAGATCCCTGTCAAGTATAAAACACGTATAGATACATTATGATACATTATAATACAAATATACCAGCACCACGGAAAGGGTGGTTTATGGACATCCCTGACTGTGTCCCTAGACATCCTCGCGTTGTCCTGTGTGATCCACCTGGGCCAAAACATCTTGACCTGTGAGAGGCCTGTAGTTGGGGTTGACCTTTGTGAGTGAATTCTTTGTTTTTTCTAACAGTGTTCAGGCCTCTCCATACTTAAGTTTGGCAGTCCCACTAGACTAGGTGAGCCCCCAAACCAGCCTGTAACACTGATTGCAGTGTCGCACCAGCTGCATTCAGAGGTCTAGATGGGCCCCCCTTTGGGGAATTGGTCAAGGTTAGACATGACCAAGTTTTGAGAATGGGATGGCTCAATTTTTTTGATTGGTGGTCTTCCTTTCGTGCCAAGATGCCTGGGATGGTTGAAAAAATTGTACCCCCTGTTGAAGAGTTGAACCAGTTGTACCCCCTCATTGCACTTGGCACAGGTGGTGGTTGGTCATCATCCAGGAAAGGATCATTTTCATGGGCCTCCCACCACCCATCACAGGAGGAAGGAATAGAGAACACAGACATAGACAGACTAGACAGACACACTAGGCAGACAGACAAACAGACAGACAGACAGACAGACGGTCCCAAAATTTTCAATAATATTGAACAAGTATACAGAAGCCCTGCTGGAGCTGCTGGAGCCCATTCTGTCAAGGGTCTGTCTTCCCTTGTAGGAGACCAGTTTGGGGTAGAAATTATTGTTTTATCTATCAGCAGCCTTCTGTCTCAACATTGGGAGCCCTGAGCCGGCACATCTAGAAGCATTCTTGGCGACTTACTTGTAGCGTCCTTGCTCCTAGTAGCGATGCCAGAAAAGCATTCTGCTTGCGTGTCCCGAACAGGCTCCACAGCGGAATCCAGCGACAGTTGTGGGCGAAATAGATTTGAAATGCGCCGAGAAAGTGTGAACATTCACAGATTGATTTCGATTCGTCTGAAGAAAAAAAGAGCTAGAGCAGCTAGAGACCTTGTTTTGCAGGGGAACGGGGGAACGCGCCTTGCGCCAGATTAGCCTGGAATGGCGCACTGTTTTACATCAGCCTGCGTGGCCAAGGTTTTGGGACTGTGGTGGCATCAAAGCTGTAATGCAACTAGCCTGTCCTGGCTCTCCACAGTTGTATGCTTCACTTGTTCAGTTTAGCCTTCCAGGGCCCTCAACTAACACGTTCAACAAATTTTATGCTTTGGATGCTGGGCTCACTGCTCTGTTGATAAGTATGGTGCCCCCCACAGGAAAGCAACGCAATCCCTTCAACAAGCGCGCAACAGGTTGGGCCAAAGGCCTTCCATGACTGACCACCAGCAGCAACTTCAATTTTCAACATTTTTGCAGAGCCACTCTTCCAGCAGTTAACACGTGTTCAATCATGCTCAATCTGTGCCACAGCATATGTTTCATCCCTCTTTTATGTATATAATGCATCCATGGCTGAGCCATGGCAACCAATGTGGGGAGTGATTCCAAGCATAGGAAGCTCAATGATTTTTGAAAAGGCTTACCACATTGCTCCCAAGCTGCTTTGTCAGCAACCCTGGAAAGAGTGAGACAGCATGGGCTCCCTGAGCAGTCTTCAGAGAAGAACTTCAGGGAGGCTAGCAACAAGCTTCTTGGAGCAAATACTGGCAAGGCAATCAGTGTGATACACATCAACATTCAATCTCTTCTGGCTGGGCTGTTCAATGCAGGAGGCTGCTTTCAAGCTTTCCTTGAGAAGGTGCACTCTCATACACCCAGCTCTGCTGGCCTGCCATGGAGGGCTGTGTTCTACAGTGACGAGGTGCATCCAGGCCACCAACTCTCAACAAGTTCAAGGAAGGTGTGGACCATATATGTATATATGGCTTGCCTTGAATATGGCAGGCACTTGTCAAGAGAAGTTGTTTGGATGCCAGTCTTCATTTGCAGGTCAAGTGTTGTCAACCAGTTGGCAAGCTCCATTGGGCAGATATTCAAGCTAGTCCTGGAGTGTATGTTCTGCAGCCCTGTGGCAAACCCAATACTGAATTTTCAAAAAAAATGCAGAGGGTGAGCATATGGTTTTATACTGGACTGTATCAATGTTCCTGCAAGACAGTGCTGCCCATAAGATGACTTTTGGGAACAGGCAAGATGGAGGCTCCAGGATATGCATGATGTGCAAGAAAGAACATCTTCTTGTCAAAAGCCTTGTATGCAGCTGGAGATGATGAGCAAGGACCACCAGAAGAAGAGCAACCTACTTTGGCAAACTACCTAAAGCTGAAGGACTTGGATTTATCCGCAGATGATGACATCTTACAGTCATGGCAGAGGATGAAAGCTAGAAAAGACACAGTCAACAAAGGTGAGTGGAAGGTCTGGTGCCAGGTTGCTGGTGTGGACTACACAAACCATGCCCTACTCTTGTCAGAATCTTTGAATGAGGTGGGCCTCTTGCACCCAACAACCTCATATGTCCACGACTATATGCATGCACTCTGCAGCAAAGGTGCAATGTGCTTTATTGCCTTTTGGCTGATTGATGAGCTGTGCCTACAGGGAATGACCAACATATGGACAACATTGCCTGAATATTTGCAGCTTTGGGTACCACCTGATTCTTTCAAAGCAATCAAGCCTTTCATGCTTTTTCTGCCTAAGGCTGTGGAGAGCCACAAAGCAAGCAAATATATCAAGCGCAGTGCAAGTGAAATGCTAAGTCTCTACAGGCCACTGGCTTACTTCCTACACACATGCTGCCTTGCCAACAATTTCTTGGAAAGGGAATGCCTGCGTTTCCTGTCTTGGTGTACACTTCTTGACTTTATGGTGTCCATACCATTCATGCAAGAAGCTGACCCACAAGTGTTGCAAGATGTGGTGGAAGATTTTTTTACCGCTTTTAAAAGCCTGTGGGTGGGCTGAAAAATGAGGCCAAAAATGCATTGGCCATTACATTGGCCCAGGGCCTTGAAGCATTTCAAGTGCCTGCCAGCATGCTGGAGCTTAGAAAGGAAGCGCAAGTCTATCAGGAGGTATGGCACCAACTGTTGCAACATGAAAGTATACGACCACTTTGTTATGAAGGAACTTCTTTGTGAGCAGGTCGCTAGTTTGACAAGTGCAGGTCAAAGCTGGTTTCAAGATGGTTGTGCCCTTGTCAAGCCCAAGAAGCCTGACAAGAAATTGAAGCAGCTTCTCTATGAAAACAATTTGGTTGTTGGAGAAAGTGGGCAATGCTTTTGCGCTCATTCTTGCAAGCTTGCAAATGGTATGACTGCTTCTGTGGGTGATGTTGTGTTGCTTAGTGATCCTGCCTCCAGAAGTTTTCCTTTCAAATGT